TTTGTCGCTTGAGCGAAAATAGGGCACTTTCGCTTGAGTGAAAGTTCTCGCTTGAGCGAAATACGCAGAGCCCAAAAGCCCAAATTTTTCCAATTTAAAGAGAAGATGTGTTTTGAGAAAAGGAAGCAGTCTTGGAGAGGAGGAGACACGACTACTGTTAGTGTTTTGTCCAATCTTCATCAATTCTTCACTTCTTCCCTTCTTCATTAATTGAAGCATTATAATGGCCAACATGAGTGGCTAACTTCATTCTCTTAGGATTCGGTGCACTTCCTTTGAACTCTTTTGTATCATGGTGATATTTTGAGATATTAATCTATGTTTTGATTTTGTTATTCTTATCCTTTGGGATTTGGAATGATTTATTCTGGATGTTTGGGGTATGATTGGAAAATATATCTTGAAGCCTAGATCACGGTAAGAATATTTGTTACATTAATTGCCAGGAATGGAATGAATGTATCAATTGCTTAACACCCTAAACCTAATGCTGGAAAATCTCTTAATTGTGTGAGGAATAAACATTTATTAGGTTTTCTTATGAATTTCATGTGTGAGGAATCAACATGGATGATTTGAGTAGGTGGCATCAACATTGTTAGGTTAGTTGATGTTCTTAATTGACATAGCCATTAGAAAAGAGGGATGAGGAAGGAAGTCAATCCTAAGTGCCTTTAATTGATATTTTCTGAATAATTTACAGTTCTTTGTCATTTAATTTCAATTCAACTCTTATTTGCAAAACCCAATCTATTTAATATACTTAGTAGGCATGTAGACCCCTAATCTTTCCCCGCCTCATAATAAGACCAGAAGACCTCCTTTTCAAAGATGGATGAAGCCTAAGAAGCCATTAGAAGAGACTATTAGGCCTCATTCTAGAATAGGAAGGATTTTCTACATTAGAATAAGGATTTTCGCCTTCAGGGATCGAGACCACCGTCTCGCCATTCCAGCAAGTCGAGACTGCCGTCTCGTTTGGTGAGACGGCCGTCTTGCCACTTGCGAATGGCGAGACCCCCCTCCCATTTGGCGAGAAGGCCTTCTCATTTCTGGGAAGGTCGATACCACCGTCTCGAATGGTGAGACGGCCGTCTCGACCTTGTCAGACGAGACGGCCTTCTCGACCTGACAGGCACGAATCCCTATAAATAGTGAGCGCTCCCCCCCTCATTTCACACAGTTCTTCCACTTTCCCTTCTACAACTTCTTCAAATTCGCTTCCTAGAACCCCTCCGAAACATTTCCGGAGTTTCTGAGAGATTTTTATAGCGTTTTCGAGAGTTTTCCGGTGTTGTAAAGAGCGAAGGGCTGCCAAAACGCACCCTAATTTTCAGAGAATTAATTAAAAAAGCTTGCTTCGGAGGTTTCTTCACTCTCTCCCTCTCTTTACTGCCTTTACTTTTATTATTAAATTGCTTAATAGATAATAGGGCCATGTAGTTATTATTTTAATTTCGCAAATAGTTGGGTTATCATAGGGAACCCGAAAGGGGCGTCGTAAGGGAACTAACCCTTCCCTTATACGTAACTAACTCCCTTACCTAAACTCTGGCTTTAACGACCAAAGTTGGTTTTCGAAAACCAATGCCTTTTTACTCCTTTTTCTATGTTTCCGGTAAAAACATCGGTGGCGACTCCATGAGAACCCTTCAAAATTAGTTCTTGGGTTAGCCCGGTTATCGGACAATCCAAGAACACCTTCTCGAAAACCTCGCCCCTAGGTTAAGCCCGGTTATTGGACAACCTAAAGGCGTTGTAACCACACCCATAAAATGCGAAAATTGGAAAGTCGGAACCATCGCGTCACTCCGACCGCCTCGTTTTGACGGCGACGACAGATGGCGACTCCACTAGGGAAGCCTATAGAGTTGATCTCATTTAGTGATGGGCCAACTTAAATAAATAAACCAAGAAATTACACTGTTATCCTACCTTGTATTATAACATGTTTTAATGATTGGATTTAATAACTGTTGTTTGTTTATTTTACGCAATTGTTTGAAATACAAATTATACACAAACCTTTGCACACAACAGTTCCCTCTATACCCAGGGGCAAGTGAGAAATCCATAGGGAGCGGGTGGCAGGTACGGTTCGCTGTAGTGATGGCCTTGTGCCCACCAGTGTGATCGGAAACCACCACTCAAGGTGATAACCTTCCTCTTTTGGCACAAAGACTGACTATGGCCTTAGTGCTAAGCATGGTCGAAAGGCTGGAGAGTGGGGAACCAATAATGGGGGCACCTTGGGGGCCTTAGCCTTGGTGAGAACAGTTAGAACCTACCTTCGCCAATGCACTTTTCTGCATGAAAACCCTACCTCGTGATTAAAATGACTTCTCGCCCATTCGCGGATGATTGAATTGTGTGCGCATTTGTTTGTTGCATTTGTTTGTTGCATAGCATAACCAAACAACAAAAAAATCACAAAAAATATTTTTGCAATAAACACCCTTATCTCGGACAGTCTGCCTTTTAGCTAGCCTGGTTTCAGGTTTTTTATAAGCTAAGTAGCCACGCAGTCCGACAGAAGAGATAAAAGGTTATGAATAAACCAAATAAAATAATAATAATAATAATGAATAATAGAATTTTGACAAAGTCGTACCATTCATATTGCATCATGTCATAAGTGGAAAAACCAAGAGAGAAAACAAATGCATAAGGAAGGTATGCATATGCATCATTTTAATAAATCCCTAAAAAATGTGTCTTATAAGCGTTTTTGGGAAAATTACTGGGCCAAATCCCCTTTGGGTATTTGTAACCTGATTCTTCACCTTTTTCTCTTCGTTTTGATATGTTGTACGTCCAAATCGGACATCTCAGTCAAAAGTTATGCCACTTTGAACATCTACCGCCCTTTTGTACTGGTGCATGCATAAATACATTCATTCTAGGGAGCACTAGATATCCCTAAGAAAATGGCAAAAGAGGCCCCGAGCATATTTGTGACCTTCACGACAAGGAAGGGACAAGTGTACTAAGGTGTGATGGTGACCCCCATTATACTTGTCAAGTATGTGATGGGGAAGGAACCATTACACCAAGGTGGGTATGATACCCCACAAAGCGTAAGCTTTAAGGAGGATACCTAAGTCATTGTCTTAAGGAATATCCATCTCATAAATCATTCATTTTAAATAATAAATATCTTTTTGCATTCTAGAAAGCGGCTGGTATTCTTCATGCCCTCATCCGCATACAAAAAAATACAAAAATCCCAAACACTATCATACATCATGTTAGGAAATAAAACATGATAATGTTTAGGAAAAAACAAACACTTGTATACATGCATCCACCAAACTTCATCCTAATAACATGCATCTAATAATAGACAGTCGAAGAAGTGGACATTCCTCAATACGATGAAAAGAGGATTAGGACATTCGCATGCCATGCACGGGAAGTAAAAAAGAAATTAAATAGAAATTCTAACCCGCCTATGGGTTCATTTAGGCTTGTCCGCTTATCGGACAACCTAAAGGCGTTGTAACAGCACCCATAAAAATGCGAAAATTGGAAAGTCGGAACCATCGCGTCGCTCCGACCGCCTCGTTTTGACGGTGATGACAAAGCATAATTGGGAATTTTCATTGAAACTGTTCCTCATGGGATCGACTTTTATTTAATCGAAATACTATACTACGATTGATAATTTTGGTACGCTTGCCAATAATTCAACACCAGGCTAGCAAAAAGGCAGACTATCTGAGATAAAGGTGTTTATTATGAAAAGATTTTTTAGATTTTGTTTTATATACATATATTTTTTATTTTTATTTGTTGTTGTTGTTGTATGATTATGTTATGCAACAATCAAATGCAACAAACAAATGTACAAACAATTCACTCATCCATGAACAGAGTGACGTTTTAAACACAAGGTAGGGTTTTCCTGTAGAAGAGTGTGTGTTTAGGGTAGTTCTATTTTCCTCACCAAGGCCAGGCCCCCAAGGTGCCCCCATTATAGGGTCCCCACTCTCCAGCCTTCCGACCATGCTTGGCACTAAGGCCGTAGTCAGTCTTTGTGCCGAAAGAGGAAGGTTATCACCTTGAGTGGTGGTTTCCGATCATACCGGTGGGCTCATGGCCCTCACTACGGCAAACCGTACCTACCACCCACTCCCTATGGATTTCTCACTTGCCCCCGGGTATAGGGGGAACTGTTGTGTGCAAGGGTTTGTGTACAGTTTGTATTTCAAACAATTGCGTAAAATAAGCAAACAACAGTTATTAAAGTCATGTTATAAAACAAGGTAGGGTAAAAGCGAAATTTTTAAGTGTATTTATTAAATTGGCCCATGACTAAATGGGATCAACTCTCTAGGCTTCCCAAGTGGAGTCGCCATCTGTCGTCGCCGTAAAAAAGGAGGCGGTCAGAGCGACGCGATGGTTCCGACTTCCATTTTGCGTTTTAAAAGTGTGACATTACAACGCCTTTAGGTTGTCCGATAACCGGGCTGGACCTAAGAGCGAGGTTTTCGAAAAAGAGCTCTTAGGTTGTCCGATAACCAGGTTGGACCTAAGAACGAGGTGTTCGAAGAGGGTTCTTATGGAGTCGTCATCGATGTTTTTACCAAAAACATTGGAAATGAAAAAAAAGAAGGCGTTGGTTTAAAAAAAAAACAACTTTGTCCATTATAACCTGAGTTAGGTAAGGGAGTTAGTTACGTGTGGGGAAGGTATTAGCACCCCCACAATGCCCCTTTTGGGTTCCCTATGATAGGCCAATTATTTCATAAATAAACTTTAAAATGACGCTTTTACCCTTTTATTTGCGGAATTTAAGGAAATAATGACTACATGGCCCTAGTAGCTAATGTACAGATAATAAAGCGGTAAAAGAGAGGGAGAAAGTGAAGAAACCTCTGAAACAAGCTTTCTTGATTGATTCTCTTAAAATAGGACATTTTTTGGCAGTCCTTTGCTCTACTTTTATAGGGATTTGCGCCTGTCAGGTCGAGACTGACGTCTCGCCTGGCAAGGTTGAGACCGTCGTCTCACCAAACGGTACGGCGGGACGACGGTCTCGCCTTTGGCAAATGGCGAGATGGCCGTCCCGCCAATCGGAACGGCGGTAACGATTTGTCCAATGACGAGAAGGCCGTCTCGCCAAACGGGAAGGCGGTCTCGCCACGACAAGTGGTGAGACGGCCGTCTCACCAAATGAGACGACTGTCTCGCTCTTGCCGATGGCGAGACAGTGGTCTCGACCCTTCAGGTGAAATTCCTTATTTTTTTCCGTACAAAAAGCCTTCCTACTCTAATATGGGGCCTAATAGTCTATCCTAAGGACCTTTTAGGACCTGCCCATCTTCGAATTGGAGGTCTTTCACTTTTTATTTTGTGACCGGACAAGATTTGGGGTCTACAGTTCCATTTGGGGATGCTGGCTCTTGATAATGCCTCTAAGTAGGCAGATGCTTCAATGGTAATGAAGACTTTGTGTTTGCAATTCTTTGCCTCTTAATAGGCTAATATTCCCTTTTGGGAATGCTGGTTCTTTGCTTGCCAGGTTTTGCCTATGCGCAGATGAACGACTCTCTGAGGATATGACTGTGAAGATTGCCTCTGTCATAGGCTCACTGGGTGTAAATTCTTTTCTTTTTGGAGATCCACCAGGTAATTGGTTGACTTCCTGGGGACATAGTTTTGGTCGCCCTCTGGGGGAATGGAGTTTTGACTCCTTGTTTGATGTGAGTTGGCTTTGTCAAGCTCTTATTCCATTGAGGGAATGAAATTTCTATTTTCTTGGTTTTTCTTTGACCATCCGACTTGTGATTGCCGGGGATTTTTTTATGATTGCCTCTTGGTATAGGCAGGAATCCACTGGGAGTTTTCTTTGACTTTTGTTGACTATGCCTCTGAGTAGGCGGATGCTTCATTAGTGGTGAAGACTTTATGATTTGCGCTTGTTTTGCCTCTGAATTTGGGGATATTGGCTCTAGCTTGCCAGGTCTTGCCTACATATAGGCAAATGACTCTTTTGAGGATGTGAGTCTGGAATTTGCCTTTGCCATAGGCTCACTGAGGATGATTTTTCTCTTTTTGATGATCCACCGAGGATTTATTGCCTTCCTGGGGATCTGATTTTGATTTGCCCCTTGGAGTTTTGACTCCTTGTTAGGTGCTGGTGTGAGCTGGCTTTGCGACGCTCTTATTCCACTGGGGAATGGGAATCCTAAAAGTTAGGATATTTCACTTCGTCTCTTTCCGCAATTTATCTCTTTGTTATTGCAATTTTGAAATTTGGCTTTTTTATGGGGACAATGCGTGTACCTTTTTACTTTTTAGTTTCTTTTATGCACGCAGGCTTTTTCTTCTTTTTGGGTATCTGCTGGGGATGAAGTTTTTCTTTTTGGTGATCCACCAGGGAATTAGTTGACTTCATGGGAATCAGACCTTGGTTTTTCTTTTCTGGGGATGGAGTCTTGGCTCCTTAATGTTGATGCGATTTGTCCTTGTGAAGCTCTTATTCTAATGAGGGATGGGAATTTCTGATTCCTTCTTTTTGTAGACTTTTCTGAGGAGATCCACTTGGGGATTTTTATTCAGTCTTCTTTGTTGCGGCCCTTTCTTTTGGACATCTGTTGGAGATGAAGGGTTTTTCTTTTCTCTTTTTTTTTTGTTGGAACCCTGAGAATGTGGAGGTTTGGATTCCATGATCGTTGGTGATAGGCTTTTCTGTAGCCTTTATTCTCCTTTAATGAATGTGGTGGATAATGGGTGAGTATGCTTGCTGACTCAAGTGATGGCAATGCTGAGCCATGAGGAATATTTTTGTTTTGCCTCTGGAGTAGGCAAGGATTTGTTTGGGGATAATCGAGCCTTTCCGTCGGCTTTTTCCTTGGTTGTGCTTCCTCTTTCTTGGATGGAAGAATGGTGGTTGAAGTTTTGGCTTTTGGAAGCTCTTATTCTGTTGGAGAGGAATTTCTTATTCCTTGTTTGGGTGATTTTGTATAATCCACTTTGGGGATTTATTGGCCTTCCTTTGCTATGATCCTTTTTCTCTTTTCTGAATTCATTGAAGATGAAGACTTTTCTTTTCTTTCTTCTTTTTTGTTGAGCCCTTTATTCTTTGTCGGGGAATGAGGGTGCTCGATGACTCATGTGGTGGCGATGTTGAGCCTTTAGGTAGTATTTTTGCTTTGCCTCTAGAGAAGGCAAGGGTCCTTTTGGCGATGATCAAGCCTTTCTATCAGCTTTTCTTTTTTTGATATTGGTACCTTCTCTTTATTAGGTAGAAGGATGGCGGCTTGGAGTTTTGGGCTCTGGAAGCTCTTATTTTCTTTGAATCGCTTTATTGGTGGCAACTTGCTCTATTTTCTTGAGGGAGAGCATTATTTGGAGACTTGTTTTGAGTGCTTCCTATTTTCAAACACAAACATGGAGCTAGTCTCCTTATATGCATGAATGCTTTTCGTTTTTGTTATATATCTGAAGCGATTTATATTTTTTATTTTTGATCTTGACAAAGTCGTTTTGTGCGACTACTTGTGAGTGAATGTCCTAAATGCAAACTATTCTTTTTTATGCATCTAGAAAAGTGATCGGCATTCTCTTGCTGGGTTTTTATGTTGATGAGCCTCTCTCTTTTATTCATTTTTTTGTTTTTAGCCCTAACTTTTGCCTAGACCTCCCTTTTGAGGTTTTCGATCTAGCGGGCTGCCTTAATTTTTGCCTAGGATATCTTAGCAGGCTTTTTCCTTTTTTATGAATGCCCTAACTTTTGCCTAGACTTCCCTTTGCGGGTTTTCGATCTAGCAGGTTGCCCTAACTTTTGCCTAAGAATCTCATAGCAGGCATAATTTTTTTTCCTTTTTATCGAGAGAAAGGACCCTATGCATGCAATTTTCATGATATGCATCCTATAATACTATTTCAGTTAATATTTCAAAAGGATTAGCCAATGTGCTTTTGCTTCTGATGTGCTTCCGACGTCAAGCTTAGCTGTACCAACTTGGTCGTCTAGGATTTTGCCAGGACTAAAGAATGATTGTGTTGATTGCAAAGCGATTGTCATGTCATTGCGCTCCTCCCTTTTCTTTGGGGATGTCAATCCTCCTATTGATCTTTATCTCCACATTTTACTACTAATTACTAGAATGTCGTAGTAAGGGTTAAGAGAAAAGAAGGAAAGTTATTTATTCGAAGGTTTGTGTTTTAGAAGAGTTTTATTTTTGACAAAAAAAAAGGTTTTTGTAAGAATGGCTAGCCAAGGTTGGTCAGACTATTTAGGTTATTTTAAACAAACGTTTTGTTTATGAAATAACGTCTTTTATTCTATGGCACTTGCTATGACTAATTAACTTCCCTAGACTGCCCTTTTGGTTTTCAGCCTAGGATGTTGTGTCATGTCCTAACTTTTGTCTAGGTTTCCCTTTTTCTTGTTTTGGGGAGCCTAGCGGACTTTATTTTGTAACCCTAATTTTTGTCTAAGCTAACTTTTATTGTTGTTCGGGTTTCCTAGCGGGTTTACCTTAACTTTTGCGTAGCCCCCTTAGTGGGTTTCCTACCAGGTATTTTGCCTCCCCCCTCCCTTTTTTTTTGGCCTTTGGCTACTATGGGCTTCTTTTGCTTTGTTTTTTTTTTTGTTTCTTTTTGCACAACATTGGCAAAACACGACTTTATTTAGGAGGTGAGACCTTATGCATGTTTCTATTCAATCAACGATGATGGTGATTTGATTATTTTGACGCTTTTTGAAAACGTTTGTTTAAATGTGGTTAATAATTGGGTATAGACATTATTAGTAGGAAAAGAAACAAATAGTAAGAATGACATTCTTTATAATTAATAGGGAAATATGTGTCCTAATGATGCTTGGGGGTCGGGCTCGCCCCGAGAAGCAATCTAATCATTGGGTTTACATCACTTAGAATAGGAAGAAGAACACTTAATGACTAAAGTCGCTCTCGACGCTTGTACCTCTTCGTTTGGGAAAATCTGATTCAAGGTGCGGAGGGGAGACTTCCCTTTTCTCGTGTAGCTTAATCCTTTGTAGGGTCATACCCTAGGCCATGCTTCAAAGGATTGTCTTTAACAACTAGTGACCCCCTTATTCCTTGAGGGTTACTAGCTATCGAGCCCTTGGCCTGGGCAGTATCCATATTTCCTCATCATATGGGCCACTTTCATATTGTTGGGGAAGTCTTCGGCAATTTCCAGCGCTTGAAGAGAAGTTTCAAGGGCTTCCTTAGTCGCATCCACATAAGGTAGGGTAGACGATTCATTGTTTAGAATGTCATCTTGTGCTTGAACCGTGACCAACTTGTCGCCTACCACGAATTTGTCTTTTTGGCAGAGCATTGAAGGAACTGCCTTAGTGTCGTGAATCTAAGGTCTACCTAATATCCTCCTTGGATTATTTTTTATGTTCTCCTTCGGTATTTTTATTATTTTCTTTATTTTTAGAAGCATCATCTTGTAGCTCCTTGGAGTAGTAGATTTTTTCTGTTTCTTGTTATGCCTCCAATGTCGGTTATGTTGGAGATATCTTTGTTGATGGGCGATGTTTCTACGTATCTCCACGGTACAACTTTATTTGATGCATAGGGAAAGGATGAGGCATGAATAAACACAATGGCGTCCTTGCCCCCTCTCCTTTATTTACTTAGACATCCAATGGTTGAGGCTTATTGTCCTCCTTAGGTGGATCAACCGTTGGGGAGAGCCTGATGATGAGCGATTCTCTCTCCATCCTTCTCCAATTTGTGGAAAGCATATCGACTAATCCTTTCTTTTTATTATCATATTATTATTAAAGTGAGAACGAATGCAATTTATGAATGCAATAGACAGTTTGAAGATGATGAAAAAGATAACTTTATTTATTTCATCAAGAAAGTGTAAATTTCTCAATGCCATGCTTCGAAGCACATTTTTAAAGGTGGAAAGCCTAAAGGAAACCATAAGCGGGTTAAAATTTCTATGTATTTGTTTTTACTTCTTGTGGATGACATGCAAATGTTCTATCCTTTTTACACGGTATTGAGGAATGTCCACTTTCTTCAATTGCCTATTACTAGATGCATGTTATGAGGATGAAGTTTGGTGGATGCATGTATGCAAGTGTTTGTTTTTTCCTAAACATTATCATGTTTTATTTTCTAACATGATGTATGATAGTGTTTGGGATTTTTTTTATGCAGATGAAGGCATGAAGAACACCCGCCACTTTCTAGAATGCAAAATGCATTAAGGTTTTTATTATATTTTTATTCTATGAAATAAATGATTAGTGTGAGATAGATATGCCTTAAGACAATTGTAGACCCCAAATCTTGCCCGGC